TAGTAACACCCAGCACAAAAAAGGGACTTTGTCTAAGTGTCTGTGGACTTACCAATTTCAAGCACAGCTGCATTGAAGAATACAACAGTACTTTCCACACCACTAGGAGGAAAGAGAAAGGTAAGGCTTAGCAATAAATACGTACCTGATGATTTACTGTACTCTCCCAACACCTTCAGTCATTTAAATTAATTCTGCTGCAAATATTCAAGTGAATAATTCTGATGTAACCATAATTCTCCTTAAGTTTACCTCAGCAATACCAAAAAAACTTCAAAAGACCACCTGGCTTCATGTTGAGAAAGCTGAGTTGGGAGAGTAACATTTAAGAGAAAAAACAACCAAAATTTAACCAAATTTTAAATGCCTTTTAAAAAGCAACATAAGAACAATTTAGCTTTAAAGGGACTCCGGAGGCCCGTTGGGTCCAACCCCTGCTCAGGCTGCACAGAGCTCTGTCCATCCAAGTCCAGAGCAGCTCCAGGGCTGAAGCTCCCACAGACAGCCCTTAGGCCACCCCCCGCTGGCCCCCCTTCCCACCCCACTCGCCCCAAATCCTGTCAAATCTCCTGTGGCAGCCAATGGTAATTTTCCTGATGTTGCCTGCAACCGTTTCCACTCATCCTTTCACTGTGCAGCTTGAGAAGAGTCTAACTCTTGTCTTCTTTGTTATCACCCATTAGGTGGTTAAATACAGCAGTCAGATTCCCCTCAATAATTATTCTTTTTAGGCTAAACAAACCCCATTAACTGATGAAATACACTTTACTTGCTAGTTTTCAGGAGTTTACAATACCATTTCTGATTGTGCAAAAGACTAGTACAGCAGCAGGAATATGATGGAGAGAAAGCAAAGCCATTATTTACAACACTGCCACAAAAAGAAAAAATGTTCTTCCATAATCTCCTGTTCAGAGGTCGTATATTACATATAATATTAGCACTGGAGAAAAAATTAGACAAACTGATTTATTTTAAACAGACTAATCATTTGGAAACAGGACAAAGTAGTACAATCATTTCTAACTAGAACAGTTGTTTAATTTTTATATGTGTAAAACCAAGAAATTGGCACTAACATCTTTGTAATTTTTTTCATTAACACAAAAATACTGCATTAAAAGCAATGGTATGGAAATGCACAAAGGCATTTCAGTTAAGGCTTCTACAGACATTGCATGTTCAGTAATTAAACATCTATTTTGTAAACTCATTCTAAAACTTTCCAAGTAACTAAACAAAAAAGCTCAGTTAAACTCCTATTCCATTGTGACTCTTAATAGGATGAAAAATACTTTGTAAAATAGATAATTAGCCATCAAATTGTTTATTAAGTGTGATTTTAAATGATAACCTCAAACCTCATTAAGTATGCATATACTTGGACCCTCACAAAAAGATACACTGGAAAGGCAAGCCTGGTTTGAAATATTGATCCCATTAAGTTCATTAACTTAATCCCTGCTCAACCATCTAAACAAACTACTGTATTTCACAGTAAGAACGAATCTGGCTCTTGGCTAGTGTTGCTTTGTCCAAGGGATACTTGGAAGGCCAATTCCTAGTGATAATGTCAGAAAACAAGCAATGATGTTAGTTCAAGTTTTTTCCTGTACCCATTTGATGCCTTAGCACAGTTTTACCTGAGCTCCATACTTTATAGGCAAAATTACACTTCTCACCGTGCCAAGATGACAGAAACGTTAAGCAGCAAAGACAAGCCATTATTAATCTCATCTTCAGGAGCTCAACAATTCTGTAAATTAAACACACCGCATCTAGAGAAACTGTGGTGGCAACCTACATGGGAACGCTTAAGTAGTGCCTCATGTCCTACGGCCAAATCATGACAGGAACCTCCGGTGCAACACTGCGGCAGAGCAGCACCCTGAATCTCTCCATTTTAATGTACAATGCAGTGCCAGCCGTAATTTAGCTCTACAGTTTTGCAAAAATACATACACAAGAACCCTAACAATTTACAAAAAAGGTTAACAGTTCCTTCCCACAATGCAACCAACAGCAGTGGAACATTAAATTAAATTAAAATTCTGGGAGAACTCTTCCCCT